TATCAAAGGAAACATATTTTTTCCGGAAACCATACTGGCTTTACCCAAGATTTTAGCCAGAAATTTGACTGATGATTTGATAAGCTTCAATCTGTTTTAGGATAGTATAATTTAAATTGACCAGAATGAAAGTAATCTTCATATCTTCCATTCCTATAATCTCTCTTTCCTACAGTTCATTTTTTTCTATGCATAATTTCATAAATGCCATGCTCTGGATATTTCTGTCTGACAAGACCAAGTTCTTTTAACACTTTTTGCTTGATGTTATCTTATTTTGAAAAGGATAATATCCAGTGGTGGGATTCAAATATGTGAACTACTGGTTCTCTGTGTGGATGCCACTTCTGGAAGTCTATTCTGGGCCTGGGCAACAAAAAATTAGCTACCGTTTCTGCCAAAGTAGTGCAAACTGGTTGAATCCCACCACTGATAATATCTCAGTTTAAATTTATGGTCTGGGCTTGATTCTGTTTTCCTCATTAATCTGAGTAAATCCATAATTCATCTATAATGTAAACAAAATTTAAATGTGGTAACATTTCAGTGGTCTAGATTTTGTCCAAGATCACGATTGACTAGAAGTCGATAGAGCTGGATCATAAACACTGAAATATTTGAAACCATTACATTTGAATGTGTACACAATTTATAACAAATATTACATAACAATAATTATTTTACAAATCAGAACAAGCACTGGAAAGTTATAAAACAAGCAACTTGAAGTCTTCTAGATCAGCGGTCTCCAACCTTTCTGGCTTGGCAGCCTGCTGGGGGCAGGAGAGAGGGGATAATCCTTGTGAATGGCAAGTGGGCACACGGAAGCATCCAAGCTCCAGCTGTGCGAGCAATAAGTGCTCATGCCCACCACTCATGTGAGGGAAGCTTCATTCACAAGCACAAGTAGCTGCCACTCACGCAAGGGAAGCTTCGCACACGCACGTGCGCTCACTTGCAGCTTGCACAGCCAGGTTCCAAACTGGCCATGGCCCGGGGTTTGGGGATCTCTGTTCTAGATGTTTGACATTTCAATTCAATTAGCATAGCCAATAATCATGTCTTAGAGAACATCTTATCCACCAATAATACAAAGGTTACCAGCAAAGCAATCATGAATCTCTGCTCAAAAGAGGTACATATATCCATTGCTTTTTTTGTAAAAAAAAAAAAAAAAAAGGTGCTGGAACTCACACACGTCATACAACGCGCCTTGCCTACCCTACAAGGTTCCATCCAAAAAAGGTGCCGGAACTCTTTTCTGGACGTTCTATGAGAAAGAAAGCCCTGCATATATCTAAAATAGCAGTCTTATTCACATAAAACTGTTGTGATCCCCTAATATTACTTTTTCTAGACAGAAACAGAAGTGATAAGATCTGTTGGTTACTGTTATGCATGGTAATAGGTTTCGTGAATCATTAGGAAATATCATGAGCTTGACTATGCATTATTTAAAATATAACCTCTCTCTCTCTCTCTCTCTCTATATATATATATATATATATATATGTGTGTGTGTGTGTGTGTGTGTGTGTGTGTCTGCCTGTCTATCTATCTATCTATCTATCTATCTATCTATCTATCTATCTATCTATCTATCATGCCGTTACTTTAATACTTTACAACAGACATGTCAAACACAAGGCCGGGGGCTGAATGCGGCCCTCGAAGTGGTTTCATATGGCCCGTGAAGCCATCCTGGAAACAGTGAGGGAACGGTCCTCGCTGCCTTGTCCCTGGCCCAGGCTGGCCGGGAGCCAATGTACAATTTTGTGGTGGCCATCTATGCTGAAACGCATTCAGTCTTAGCTCCACAAGGCTGTCTGGAAACAGCAAGGAACCAGCCCCTGCCATGTTGGCCCCGCCCCTGGGGTGCATACTGCGGAGGTGTCACCCTTTGTGAGGAATGAAGAAATGCACCATCGCCTGGAAGTGCCTCACCTACTTCACATATCTGGCTTGATGGGCTCTGGGGGAGAGGTTTCGGCAGGCAGCAGGATGCTCTCCTCACAGCGCCGGGCAGTGCAAAGCTCGCCGGGTTGAGCCAGGCAGTGCAAAGCTCACCAGCTTTGCACCTATCTGCCTGCTGAAACTGGGCAGGCTGGGGGCTAGGCAGCATTGCACTTCTCATCAGATTCGCACCACCCGGTTCAGCTCTTGGCGCCCCGCTGCCTGCTGAAACCGGGCAGGCTGGGGGCTGGGTGGCATCATGCTTCTTTTTGGGGTTGCACCGCCCGGTTCAGCCTCTTGGCGCTGTGAGGAAAGTGCCCCGCTGCCTGCTGAAACCGGGCAGGCTGGGAGCTGGGCGGCATTGCGCTTCTTTTCAGATTCACGCCGCCTGGCTCAGCCTCTCAGCACTGTGAGGAGAGCGCCTTCCTGTCTGCCAAAACCAGGCAGGCTGGGGGCTGGGTAGCATTGCACAGGTAACACTGACTGTCACGCTGTTCATGGCATCCCCTCCCCCAGAGCCCACCAAGCCAGATATGTGAAGTAGGTGAGGGCCATGTGCTGGCCACTTCCAGGCGATGGTGCATTTCTTCATTCCTCACGAAGGATGACACCTCCCCAGCTGCATTTCTTGCCTGTTTTTCTCCCTTCAGCAGGGAGCAGGGCTTCGTGGGCCACATGAAACCACTTTGAGGGCCGCATCCGGACCCCGGGCCTTGTGTTTGACATGTCTGGTCTGAGGGAAGTGCTGCTTTAGTCCTGCCCTGCTGCCCTTTCACCATCCCCTTGCCCCCTCCTCCTGGCCTATCCTGGGGGTCTCCCATCTTATTGCTAAGGAAGCTTTGGATACAAAGCCGGGTCTCCTCTCATGGAGAGGGAATGAGCCTCCCTCTGACTTTGTCCTCGTACCCATCATGAGCAACCTGGGTAAGGAGAGCAAGCACAGCAGCAACAGCCTTGAGGAGGAGGTAAGTGCAGCTGGGTGCCCCCTTGGGGAAGTGGGACTGGGCTTGGTGCCGTGGGTTCTCGAGGGACAGGCTGGGCATTTGACTTTTGGCAGCCCACACCACCATCCAGCCTGCATGGCCTGAGAGGAACAGTGAGGCTCCTCCAGTGGACCATGCCTTGGCACTTGCCCTGGTCCCACCCCCTTCTTCTAGAGACCCTCAAATCTGTCCCACTCCTGCCCTGACCCCCACAGGCACCCTTGACGCGAATGATGTAGAGCTGGCTACGCCCACCCAGTAGGCCACACCCACTCCATCCACGCCCACCCAGTAGGCCACACCCACCCTGGCCACACCCACCTGCCCCCCCAAAGGCAACTGCAATGCTGATGCAGCCCTCAATGAAATTGAGTTTGACACCCCTGCTTTACAAGGAGCATGAATATGGTTTCATTAATGTAGATACATATCTAATGCAGAAAAGTGAAAAGAGCTTTTTGGCTCTTGTGATAAAGCCCTATGTCTGTTTCTTTTTTTCCTTTTATCATAAGTGAAGGTGAGGGAAGTATTTAATAAGCTTTTTACATTTATCATGAAGAGAAATGGAAGTTTTTGTTGTGTGCAATTTTCATAACAAATGTGCATATGAACTGTTGTTATAGAGTGCTTTGAGTATATTATGGTAAGATAATTATAATTATTATCATCATGGGAGACAGTGACATAGGCAGGTGGAGTTCTTAGAGCATGCTTCCAGTGAACTGTCTCTTTCCAAAAACAGTTTGTTTTGTTTTTTAGCGAGAACCATTTATTTTTTTTTACAATATTTTTGGTTTCTCAGGGCCCATATTGATTATGAGTGATCATGTGATGTATCACCAACATAAGCAGGATCAAAATATTATGCTTGATAAAAATTCCACACTTTAAACATATTTTTGCTTCTTGTTGGGGTAAAGATTGGAGTACTAAATCCAAAATGTCCATTTCAACAACAAGCACAACAACAAACACCATACACAAAAGTCAAATCCCAAACTCCAGAATGTAAACTATAATTGCCTGGAGAGAATTGAAGGGCAGAGACCACATGAAGCTTTTGGAATGCCCATCCTATTGTAAGTATCTTTCTCAGCCCTTGTAAATTACGGTTATACATCTTTGGGCCATTCCACATAAAATGTTTTTTAAGAATACCTAAAGCATTTTGAAATATGAGAAGCACAAATGTTCAAAAGTATTACTGAAAGATAGTCATTATATGTTATTATTTATTTAGATGAAGAAAATTAAATATTAAATTTAATAAATAAATAAATTTCTTCCTCTTAGAGTTAACATTTCACTGCAAAGCTAGCTTGATGTGTGAAATTTTCATAAAAATGCAATTTTACAAATTTTTAGTGTGGTAGGAAACTTATGATATGGTATGTTTCAGACATACTAAAATAAACAATCTAAACCTATTTCTTTTAAGTGTATGGGTCAGCTAATGTTAATGCCCTTTCCAAGACAATCAAGCATTGACTAAATTGTCATTGACCTGGCTGAACTTGCATTCAGTTTCTGCTAACATTTTCTCTTTTATAAAAAGTACATAAAAAGGCAGAAAGAACAAGACACCAACTTGTTTTCTTTGTTAAAATATAGAACAAATCATTAAAAGAGACAAATGCTGTAGGTAAGAAAAAATTATTATCACCATGCTAAAAGCCCTTGTGGTTTTCAAAAACTTATGTCAAGCATATTATCAGAAAACAAGGCCTTTTCCCTTTTATGCTACTAATGTTGTTTTCTTTATTGCAATAATGTTTTTGTAATGAAAAAGATACTGGCTGTCTTTTATTACGCAAAAACAGATGCTAATATGCAAATCTAGACACAGAGAATACTTGGTATGGCCAGATTCACAAATGTCTTTGTAACATGGGTTTTTTTTTTAAAAAAAAAGAATTTCTGAAATATTTATAATATACAGTAAGACAATAAAAGTCATTTGAAGCTTTTAAACTTTTGTTAAAAATCATGTTCTGAATACTTATACATGACATGTAAGAGAATAGAGCCATTTAAAACATAAAGGTATAAATCATGGCTTCCTACCTGTTGGAGTGAGATGCCTCCAGGTGATGACAGGTTCAGGACGTCCATTTGCCATACACACTAAGGTCACATTGCTTCCTTCATTCACAGTGACATCTGAAGATATGTTGGAAATCTTTGGTGGAACTGCAGAAACAAAAGTGGTTGGTCAGAATTGTCTTAAGTTGATCCAAACTGACATAAAAATTTGTTAAAGATTCTGAATTCTGAATCCTACTGGTACTAATAAATAGGAAGAGAATTTACAAATAGCATAAAAAATAATTCATGCCTTACTGAATGAACCATAATTGTTTGTTTGACTGGATTTTTTTACAGCAATTAAATTAAAATTAGTTAAACCATACTATGCCTTAGGCATGTTGGATGATTCACACCATGTATCCTACATCTTGGTCTCTTGCAGAGATCCTTAAAAGTTTTACTTAATTTGCTGGCTTTTTATATGTCAGATCAAAATAATTTATACTAACTATGCATATGCTACCTAAAGGTAGAGGTGGCTTTAAGTTTAGTTGAACACAAGGACTGGGTTCACACATTGCAATAAGTTATAATTTATGATTTGCAAAATACAAAGCATGTTACTGAGTGGAGTATGTGAACCTAATACGTAGGTCTGAGCATTTTAATGTCTAATTTAACTTTCTTTCCATGAATGAAATCAAAGTACCTGCAAGAATGAATATAATAACACTACCAATATTTAAGAGATTTAACTAGATCCCTCTTGCCATTTTATTATGGCTGCACTGTCTTCAGGAATTTGCTGTGAAATATCTCTCACAGTGTATACTCCTGTTTTAGTTTTAGTTTTCACTTCGAAGAGTCCTTATGGTTCTCTAAATAATAGTGGAATTCTGAATTAAATGAAAAATGATGCAATATGTTGTATATATATTTGGCTGTAGAAATATAGCTGGGTAAAAAAATGTATACAGTGTCATATGTCTTGCTGTTGTCAGAATTATGAGTCAACTTATAGAGCTCTGAATTGGAACTAAGATGCAATGATTAATTTAATCAGTATGCATCCCAAAATAATCACCTTGTGGAATCATCTTAAATAGTAATTTTTAAGATGAGCATATACAAGAAAGAAGCAGACCAACCTAATGCTCTCTAGATATTTTGGATCATAACCCCCACAGTCCTTGACACTGCTAATGCTGCAGATGGTTCTGGTAACTTTAGTTCATAATATCTGGAGGACCTGGGATTACTTATTCCAGTCTCATTTCAATTGAAAATTTCATGGGTAGTGACCTTGTCTGCTATTTTCTGACTCAAACTAGGTTCATTGAATTTTCTTAGGGTGGATAAAAACTGAGAGAAACCCTAGGAATTAATTTGAAAAGCAAGAATCAAGTAAACAATAAGTATGGTGATGTGGATTTAAATTATTATAAATTTAATTTATACAACTTCATACAATTGTACTTCCAAAAGATTTTTAAGTTCTTTCCCTTGCCTGAAAGATACTTGGAATCCATCTGAGCATTAAAATGGAGCTGAGTTTATGTGGGGGGAAAAAAGGATCCTTGTGGATAGTTTTGCATGTCATCCATAAAATTCAATGGCTATTTTCCATTAAAACTATTGTTCTCCTATAAGAATCATATAAAAAAACTAAGTATTAATATATTAATAAAGAAAGATTGTCTTAATATCTAAGAAGTTTATTACTTCCATGTATACCATTTTAAAGACCACATTTACCATTTAACTGAGAAACCTCTGCCTCACACTGCTTACTTAGATCTGTATTTGCATTAAGGTCAGACATAGAAACATCCTTCTATCCCATTCATTTCAGAGAAGAGAAGACTAATTTCCTTCACTGTACATAATTCAAGAGCAGGGACAGCAAGGAAAGGCCATCACAGAACAAGGAACCATGTTTAACCAAATGATAGAATTATTTAAAATTATTATTTCAGTTTTGAATGTGTGTATTAGCTTGTACATATAACCTCCAATGCTTCAGATAAAAGAGACATAACCATCTGTTCTTAAAGATTAATATTGAAGTTTCCTTGTCTTATTAAGAGAGTAACAATGTTCTACTTTACTGAATATAGTCTTCTGAAACTTAATTCAAAGCAATGAATTAAAAGCAAAATCTATGATTTCAAAATCATCAAACCACAATATAGTTTATTTAAATATGTCAGTCTATATAAGTGCATCTCCACAGTTCACTCTAAATGTAGTTAAAGATCAAGAACTATAAACAGAAGAGATCAAGGGGCTTATCATGTCATACTATTTTGACAGGGCATAAAAAAGACATACACTTCTCACAATGCTAAAAATGTTATTTTGCTGATTAAACCATATTAATTATTTATGTATTTGCCTATAAATATCAATCAGTAAATTAAAATATGATGCAACTCTGCTTTATAATTTTATCCTCTTTATCAGTGATGCCTTCCTTCTTGCAGATGTCTCAAGCCCCCATCATCACAGCCTATTATGATGCTGATGGTTCTTTCTTATCTACTATCTACTATATTAATAACCTTGAATTTGCTCCTCCCGTTTAATTTTGCCCCTCCCTTATTGTTTTTTAAAGAGACCATGTGTTATTTGGATTAAGTAACTAGTTTTTTTTTTTCATTTAAATAAACACTCTACGAGATATAAGGATGGATTACTCCTGAATGCCAATATTTCTAATGTAGATATGGGATGGAAACAAAAGAAATAATAAGACATCAAAAGAAAGAGATATGAAGGGAAGATAGCTGGGCAGAAAGTTGATTATGAAAAATCAGAAAATAAGCACAATCTCTGAAAAATCAGCGAAGTTTAAATGTATGCAGTGTCTTTGAAATGAATCCTGTTTGTTACTTGGAATTCAGTTCATATGAAACACTGAACCATTACCTCTGAATAAAGATGAATGCGTCTCGACTCTTAAGCTGGAAGAGATCTTGATTTACTCATACCTGGAATCCCTTCATTATGTAGTGAACCATCCAAAACACATCGGCATTTCCTCCCTCCCTCTTAGAGATTCCAGAACTGATGCGACTAAACTTTTTGGAAGGAAAAGGGAATTTGGAATCAAGGAATGAAATTGTGAAAAATGGGCATTTAGTATCTTAAAAATGCTCCAAAGTTTGAAACACACACCTACTCTGATTTCCAGTGCTTTTCTCTCTCTTAAATAAAGAAAAAAGGTGCAATATTTGCCCTCTAGCAGTAGAGGGTGCTGAAATACTGGGGAAAAAAATCATTTCACCCTCTGCTGATGAAGGAAAAAAATGCAGCTATTTTTAAGGGGGGAAGAAATTGCTGTTATCACCCATATCCCTCACACAGTCATAAATAAAAAAAATTAAAAGAAAGTTAAAGATTAATAATAAAAGTAAACAAAATGCCACATAAACCTGATGTGCCCCTTAACCTGATGACAACACAACTCTCAGAGTAAAAAATATTGTGAAGGAAAAAGGACTAGGAAATTCTTCCATCATTCCAGTCTATAACCATAATCAAGCAGTTTGGCACCCACCACTCTTCTTCCTTAATACAGCAGCCATGCTTCAAAGTAGTTTTCTGGATATGGTAGGGAATTATTTTGTCTCTGGCTTTCACAATTTTCTCTTCAAAACTTCACATTATAAGGGATTCATTGTGGGTTGAACTGCTCTTAAGTAAGTAGAAGGTCCACTTTATTTTATTGAACCGCCAGTTTCTATTTCATTTTACAGTAAATATTTTGCAGGACAGGGATGTTTGGGTGGAAGGCCTTTAATCTTTTTCAGTTCTATACAAAATACTATCTTGCAAATATGTCAGAAATAACCATCTGTAATGCCCAGAGCTGCATGGTTTGTGTTTCAATGAGATCTCAAAATTTATATGAATATTAACACAATCTAAGAAATTGTACCATAACATCCTCTCAACCGAATTATAATAATTTGACAAAATGCAGTGTAATAAAAGCTGAAGAAAACAATGCATTCATATAAAATGAATGAATGCATGGGCTTTTCTCCCCTTTTTCACTGCAATACCATTTATTCATTTCTCCATGCCAGAAGCTCAGGCATTTTATTTATGGAAGACAGGTAAAAGGTAGAATATGAATTGTTTGTAGCTAAATAACTGAGTTATTAACACATATTAAATAAAAGCTGGCTACCTAGCTTTTCAAAAATGGGACTTTGTATAAACTGCCAACAATACTATATATTATACCTAGTCCAGGTAATATTTTTTGTATGTGAACCATTCACATGGATATAAAAAATAAAAAAGAGACAAAAAAAGGCACGGAGGATCCTAGGATTGGCATACAATATAGAAGAAAGTTATTTGTTTTCATGAGGTTCTAACTTAAAAACCAGGTTCAGTTGGAACAAAGGAGTGAAGAAAATGGTCTTTAAACACATGAAGGCCACATATTTTCTGAACAAGGACACTAATATAATTTCCTGACTTAATATATGTAAAACATTCTCAGCTCTTCATGATTAGGTCGATTGGACCCAAATGTTGGTGTTTCCAATCATCTCTTTCTTCCTCCACATGTACTTATATTTCTAGTGCAAGGAGGCCAGTTTATTCCTTCTGCTCTGCATATATATCAAGCCAAAACCCTGGCCCAAACTCTTTATGGAATTCCCATATGGATACGAGGCTTCAAGGATTGAATTGAAAGTACCCAGGCTGTTTTTCTTAGGAAACTTCTGGGTCTTCCTCCCTGTGTTGGATTTGCTTCGATGTACCTGGAACTGGGCATTCGTTCAGTTGAATGCATTGCATGGATTAACACCTTCAAATGGTGGTTTCAGGTGCTCTTTTCGGCAGCCCCTGGTAGCTACCTTTCCCTGGTGTTTGCTGACTCTTATACTTCTCGTTGGGAGAGGGAGCTGACGAAGAAACTCCACTTGCTAGGTTTTACGGGGGATGCTTTGGGAGATTATGGTCTTAAGGACACCCAGTTTAGGGTAGTCCAATGGCTTGTGGACATAGATTTGCAATACTTAAGAGCCAGAGCCAACAAAACCTGCTCCCCTTTGATCTTTAGCCATTCTAATAATTATGGATTGAGAATGGCCTCTTATTTCTATACTCTAACCATCCCCAAGTATAGAAGAGTCTTTTCC